TCTTTACAAATATTATCAAGCATCAATGTGTGGCATGGAGGCTGCACAGCTGCAGAAAGAAAAGCTTTGCAGAGAGTGGTGAAGGCTGCACAGAAGTCTGTTGGAGTCAGTCTCCCCACCATCACGGACATCTACACCTCCAGATGAAGGAAGAGAGCCATCTGCATCATGAAGGACACCACTCACCCAGCATACACACTTTTTGCCCCACTCCCATCAGTCAGGAGATTGAGGAGCATTAAGTGTAGAACCACTAGACTGAGGAACAGCTTCTTCCCTGAAGATGTTAGACTCATGAATCCCTAATCAGGAATATCACTGTGAAAAAAAAATAAAATAAAAAACACTGTAATGCCACTTTGATTGTTGATATATGCTGCTGATTAACCATGCTGCTGATCTCATGCTGTTGATTTATTTCATGCTGCTGTGTTCATTCGTACTCATCTGCTCATACAGACTCATGTTCGTGCTGCTGTTCGGCATTCTGTTTTTGCACTATTTAGTGTTTTGCGCATTTCTTAATTTATATATTAGATCCTTAGTACTGTTTCTTTTACAGTTTATATTTTTTGTTATTGTTGGATGCACCTGTGCATTTTGTTCCACATCATGCATGTGATGTGAATGGCAATAAAGAACCTTGAAGTTGAACTTGAATCATAATTTTTAAAGAAAATTTCTGGTTTGAAGATTCAACTTGAGTAATAGACTTACTGAAACAGAGCCTGTAGCAAACTGACAGAGCAGCAGTCTTTGGATCCATCACCTCTTTACTGCTTGCTTTCTGCTCTCTGCAAGATCGAAGGAATTTTAAGTCTCCTCAAAATCTTTAAGCCTTCACCACAAGTTCCTGTATGACATTTTGATCTAACAAATGCAACAGTATCCGTGAGACAGCATAAACTTTCTCCTATGTATGTTGAAAGCCCTTGTATAGGATTTAGGCTGAACTTTTGTGTATTATCACAACTATATTTGGGAAAATTGAAACTTCACTGTTAAAAACAAGATTGTAAATTCTGACTGCATGTGCTTTATTGTAATTTCTTCAGTCAGTGGCAATATACACTGCCTGGCCCAAAAAAAAAAGTCACCACCTGGATTTAACAAAGCAAATAGGTACGAGTCTCCTATTAGAAAATTACTGCTTGAGCGATTATCTTTCAGCTGGCAACAAGTTAATTAATCCCAAATGGTACAATGAGTTGCTTCTCATTTCTTAAACAACAATGTCAAAAGACACATGGTGTGGTCGTGGAAAAGATGTCAATATGTTTGAGAAGGGTCCAATTATTGGCATGCATCAAGCAGAGAAAACATCTGAGGAGATTGCAGAAACTACTAAAATTGGGTTAAGAACTGAGAACGCATTATTAAAAACTGGAAGGATAGTGAGGATCCATCGTCTTCAAGGAAGAAATGTGTCCGGAAAAAAATCCTGAATGATCGTTATCGGCGATCACTTAAATGTTTGGTGAAATCAAATCAAAGAAAAACAACAGTAGCACTAAGGGCTATATTTAAAAGTGAAAGTAAGAGCATTCCCAAATGCACTATGTGAAGGGAACTCAAGGGATTGGACTGAACAGCCGTGTAGCCTTAAGAAAACCACTAATCAGTGAGGATAACTGGGAAAAAAAAAGGCTTCAATTTGCTAGGGAGCATAAAGATTGGACTCTGGAGCAATGGAAGAAGGTCATGTGGTCTGATGAGTCCGGATTTACCCTGGTCCAGAGTGATGGGTGCATCAGGGTAAGAAGAGAGGCAGGTGAAGTGATACACCCATCATGTCTAGTGCCTAGTCATCAATGCAAGATATAACACTGGATGGAAACAGATCTTGTGACTTTGCAGAAGCTTATTGAAACAATGCCACAGTGAATGCATGCTGTAATCAAAGCTAAAGGCGGTCCAACAAAGTATTAGTGTGCATCCTTTTTTTTGGCCAGGCAAAGTATTTTAATGATTAGGAGTCTTTGAAAAATGCTGGTATCCTTAAGAAACCATCTTGCAAAGCTTTAAGGCGCTACCTGTATCTGATACTTCGCAACATCATACATGAACTCAAACTATGTTGAGCACCAGACACAATAAAAAAGCCAATCTTTTAAAATCTAGAAAATACACCATTCTGCACATTTTGTGAACACTCCTTATTTATAAGGCACATGCAGACCTTGTTTTATTGCAGGACAGACATGTGTAACCACAAAAAAGCTCTGACCTTGTGAGAACATGAAGATTACATCTGTAGGATGCAAATATCGCTCAATAAGCTTGTTCTCATATCAGCTCTGCTGTTATTGCACTGTTGTCATTCACAGTGACCAGTTAATGTGATCCACTATCAGTGGCCATGTCCGAGAGGCAAATCCATGCACATTTTCTTTTGTATAATTATAGAAGTTCTAATTCAGACACAAAGGGCTCATGTACAAGATGTCCACTCCTACATAATGTTCACACTGTAATGAGTATTAGGCAACACCACTGTGAACCCACAAACCATTAAGAAGCCACAGAGCTGATTCAAGGCTATTATGCTGTTATTTCTGTCCTGGTCTATGAACTGTGACCAGGAGTACGCAGGTATTCTGTTGCATAGTTGAGGTTTTTTATCTGCTTTACTCAGTAAACCGCAATGCAGATAACAATACAGGATAAATTAGTTCTAACATACAAACAAGGATTTGGAAATCAAACTTAGATGTCTTTGGCATTTAATTACTTGTCTAATGCAACATTTTACAAGAAAACTTCACTTATCAAATGATCTTCACCGTAACAGTTTCAGAGAATTAAGGACCCTCAAAAGGCAGAAGTTATTAATTTTAAGTGCAATAACATGGTTAAAACAAGAACAGATGCTCACTTCTTGAAAGGATTTTCAAGGTATTTGCCATTTATTACATTACATCTGGTTGTAAAGTAGGCAAAACAAGTTGATGTGAAGTTGTCACATCCCATTAATGACTCTGTAATTTTTATAAATACGCCAATGAATTTTAGTTCAAAACCAAACTCTTATCAGTGGTGCCAAGGAGCCAGTCGAGCAAAAAAAAAAAAAAAATCAGTAACACAAAAAAAATTAAACAAGACAGGCAACTTGGCCAGCTGTGGTTTTACAATAAAGCGTATTGGATCAATAGGAATGTAATCAGGGCTATTCTCTGGTCTCATTTTCTTTTGTCAATTTGTTGAAAATAAAAAATTTAAAAAAGCAAAAGTCGAACTTGGAACTGTGATTCAAAGATGTATATGTTAGATAAAAACAGACGACCCAGGGTAGGCTGAGCTTTTCTTAAGAGCACAAGTTTAGTGTGGGATCAACGTGAAGCGGAGTGGTTCTCATGGGAGACAGAAAAGCAAGCCAGGAGATATGAAATAAAGAACTTCTGAATTTACTTTCTAAATGTGCAATTTGATTTACAGGATCCCAAAAATTATGACTAACACCTGAGTTCATAAATATCAGGCAGGAAAACGTATTATCATTTGAATCCATTTATTCGTGTTCATTTTTTTCATGCTTAGAGCCATATTGTCAATTTCCATTCTGCTAAGCACACCTGTGATTCCTGGCAGCTCCGGATCCCAGACCCCTCACTTGGATGGAGCATCAGCTGCATCCCAGGACTCACAGACACCTCCAAAACCTCACACAATTATGCAAAGTTGCACAATTCAACGCCAGCTACGTTTCCCAGAATACCAGATGTGCCACTCAAACATAATTACTCCCCGTCGTTGTTGCCTTTCTGCAGTCCAACACTTAACCTTGAGCGCTTTCTGATCAATAGCCCGTTATTGGTCCCAAACCACCTCTTCAACTGCTTGTCAAACATAAAACGCATTGACGAACTCAGCCGAAAACCCTTCAGGCAAATCTGCAGGTAGATAAATAAAATGTAATGTCTGCCCACTGCCCATCTGGAAGGTGAAGCTAGAGTAACGGAATTATAGGTGGGAAGTTTTCAGCTAAAACCAGTCATTAGGGTGCCTGAATTATTGGGGAGGCTTAATAGACCTTTACGAGCTGAAAGTAAAAGCTTGGCAATGGCTGCTTGCCAATGCAAACTGCTGTATTGACAAATTCAGTCAGATTCTATTTTCTTGATGAATTCCTACCTGAGGTTTCATTGCAGTTTGATGGAATGTGTGAAGGATGCAAAGACAAAAAGTGAGGTAAAAAGTGTTTAAAGAAAATTAATATTTCTGTTGTAATTAGCAGGTTTGGGGGTAATGTTACAGTAACATTACAGACAAAATATGATTATTGTTCCTAAAAATGTGTGACCTGCAAAGGCGCTCAGCTGCCACTCACTCTACACCTCAAATAGTATAATAACAGTTCCAGATGTTATAATAAAGGCTAATCTGGGTACATGGGGCCGAGATGGTGTAGAGGCAGGGCAGCCGGCTTGGGACCCGAGAGTCCCAGGTTCGATCCCCAGTCACTGCACATCACGTGGCGTCTCTGGGCAGCACGTCTAATCCCCAAAATGTCCCCCGGGCGCTTTCAATAGCTGCCCACTGCACCACCTGGTGGTGGATGGGTTAAATGCAGAGACTAATTTCGCCATTGTATGGAAACATACAGTGCTGACATTGTGATGACATTATTATTATTATTATTATGTGCTGTGCACAAATACAATTTTATCTGTGGTTGAAAGACGTTCATCCTGATTGGTGCAGAAGTTGCGTTGAGTATAACGAACCATAAACTTTCAGATTTTAAATGATGGGAAACGAGCTGCATTTTAAATTATGGTTGACATTTGTTCTAAGTTTAAAATGTTTGTTAGCTAAAGCAACTACCGTATTCAAAATGAGCCCAAATAAAGTCTTGTCATCCATTTTTGGCTAGAAAATGTGAAAGGGCATTAGTAATTCTAAGCAGATTTTTTTTTTTTTTTTTTTTTTTTAATTTAGGTGTGTTTTATACAGAGTGGGGTAAAAAAAAAGTGTCTCTGGGTAAAACTATAAAAACTCACGAAAAGCTGTGTAGAACTCATGCAGGCTGAGGTGTCCATCATTGTTATAGTCATCGTAACGAAGCAGATCTTGCATGGTGCACTCCAAAAGATTGTCGTCCAGATGCTCCTTGACAGAGATCTAAGAAAAAAGGACAAATAAAATAAGTTATCCTATAAACTATATTCTATTCTTAATAAAGGTAAAGTTAAACAATGTAGGAAAACTGTTCAAAAATTTGCATTAAAAGAAGTTTCAACTTAATGGACTGATATATAAATTAATCAGAGCAGTTTCGAAGATGCTGAAATATTAGTGCTAATCAGAAGCTCTTAAATGTTTTACCATCATAAAGAATTGCATCAAATATCGGCAAATGAAAATCTAAACAAGCCTGATATCTATCGGAAATATGTTATCTAGCTTACCAGAAATAAATAGTTTGGGCAGCATTATCGTTTTACCCATAATGCACAAGCTTGTGGTATGGGGATCGATTTTTATAAACAAAAATAATGAATTGTTTTAAATATCAATGAATTCAGGAAAAAGACAAACATTTGTCTATTGGCTGAATACTACAGAAATGTCCATGATAATGTAATAAAGCCACCAACATTATAAAGTACTTCAAAAATTAGACATGCTTTGATCCCAGCAATAAATAAAATAAACTTACAAGATCTCAAAAGGATGCAAGGCAGCACACGAATTTCATAGAAAAAGCTTTTTTCATGTGGAATGAGCAAAATTCCCCCAAAGAGCTGAAAGCTTCTTATAAAGTTTAAAACCATCATTACTGACCCTGCAGGAGGCTCAGAAACCATCTCATCTTGATGTTTTTAAACTTGAAATTATGATTGACAAGAATATAACTTAAACAGCATATTGAATATATTTGCATTTTAAACTTCTGAAATCAGGTCATTTCAACTCTTCAGTATTCTAAGAAACAGTATATTTAGGTTTTGCATGTCAGGATTTCATATCAGTAGTATAAAATGTGTTTATAGGTTTAAATGCCAACACGATAATTACAAGGCAATTTACTTTTTATGTTTCCTTCCTCTGGCTGGTAAAGTCTAGAAGTATAAACCTATAAACCTTTAAGTTAATCTTCTCCAACTGATTTTGTATGGAGCTGCACATGTGACATGGCAGATTAAAGGATGTGACAAACTTTTTCATCTCGTGTTGTTGCCTGAAGCCGAGCACTGCCATATGTTCCCTGTCACAGACTCTTCTGCCCTTAGGCATTTGAATAAAACATATTCAAACCCCAAGTACAGGACTTTACCATTCTGCATTAACTGTGACAAAAGACGGATCCCAAAGTGGAGACGGACTGGATGGATGACTGGAATCTCTCTTTGATCCTTAAAAGCATTATCTATGCAAAACAGAATTTGTGAATTTCTGCACAGTAAGAATGACTTATCAAGAGATGTCTCAGTAACATGCCAGCTTTATTAAATCTTTTAATACAGCGTCGCCATAAAAGGCAAATGTCGCTCAATCGTTTTTCTTAGTGGAAAGAGAACAAAACTTGTTGGGAGCGCAAAAACTTGTTGGGAGCGCAGTAAGTTAACAAAAGCTTACTGCTTTGTCAGTTATTGTAGAGCGTTTGAAAGTTTTTATAAATGTTTAGCTTCTAATACGCTTTCTTATTATAAGAATGGAAAGCTTAAAGCTGATTCTAAGTTTTGAACAATAAGAAGCTGGGGATTTTTAACAATTTTTTTTTTGTTGACATCATGAGTAACTCTATAACAGGAGTCAGACTCTGGCAGTGTGGAAGTCTCTGAGATCCACACTTTGATAGAAGATTAATTGCTGCCAATGTCTGATGCCAAAATGCCAGACAATATTCAAAGTACTTCAACGTCACCATGAAAGCGTCAACTCCATCTTTTTTCACAGTTGTTCTGCTTCTAAGATCAGCTGGAGAAAAACTTTGATATTTTCCATCATTTGAAAAGATGATTAAATGTTGCAGCTAGATGTCACTTTACAATTTTAAAGCAGAATTCTCAATATTTCTTGCAAAGCAGAGAACATCAACAAGACAAGGACATGGTGATTCAGTGATCTAACTAGAAAGTTCCTGCAGAAACTTTGATGGGGGCTGCCACATTGCAGCCATTTAAAAACATTGATTTGACAGTACTAAGTGTTGGGATTCACTCTCAGCTACCACCGTGCCAAATTTCAGCCCAAAAAATAAAAATAAAAAATCAATGAGTTATAGTTATTTTTAAATTACTGAGTTGTAGTCAAATTTGAGTTTTCTGAGGTAGATGTGGCAGCCATCTTGGTAACACTATAATAAGGTACACAACATTTGATTAACTACTAGGGAACACCTCTGGAACAAATCAGGAACAAATCAGGAGTTAATGGGTAGTCAACCAGTACTTACTGGAGAACACATAGCCAAGCCTTATTAGGGGACTACTGGTTTGTTACCACAGAAACAGAGAGATTCTACATTTGGGTTCTGAACAAACCCTGCACCAGTGAGATCACAACTCGTAATTGTGAAAAACCTGTTTTCTAGTGATTATTGATTTTAGAGGATTCTTACCACTGATTATCAATTTCATAATCTTGTACTGCTGTCATTTTAACTAGGTCTGACCATCATTTACTGAGTACCAAATAATTTTCTGGCCATCATTTTGTTCACTGACGTAGTGATGCATCATAAAGTACTTACTGAGGAACTAATCATTACTTAATCACTACCTGACCACTACCTGCATCATGAAGGACCCCACTCACCCAGCACACACACTTTTTTTCCCGCTCCCCTCAGGAAGGAGGTTGAGGAGCATTAAGTGTAGAACCACTAGACCGAGGAACAGCTTCTACCCTGAGGCTGTTAGACTCATGAATCTCTAACCAGAATAATCACTGTGAAGAATCCCATCATGTTGCTGCTGATCTGTTTGAAGTTCATGCGTACTCATCTGCTCACACAGACTCATGCTCGTGCTGCTGTTCAGCGTACTGTTTTTATGCTATTAGTGATTAGCATATTTTTAGTTGACGTTTTTCTTAGATATTATTACTGTTTTTATTTTACATTTTATTGTTGGATGTAACTGGGACCCTGTGTACATAATTTCGTTCCACAATAAAGAAACTCTGACTCTGACCTACTGTTACCTCCTGATTTGTTCCTCTTTGGTTTCCTTGGTGACTACCCATTAGTTCTTTATTAGTTCCTCGTGTAAGGTAACTAACCAGTAGTCCCATAATAAGGCTTGGCTGTGTGTTCCCCAGTAAGTACTGGTTAACTACCCATTAGTTCCTGATTAGTTCGTGAGGCGTTCCCTAGTAGTTAATCAACTTTTGTGTACCTTATTGTAAAGTGTTACCGCCATCAGTATCCAAAATGGCTCCAAAAGTTAATCAGTGTTTTGTTCAGGGACTTCTCCACTTCAGGTCATGTGACCTCACTGTGGCAGCTAGAAGCTGCTGAGTTCTGTCAGTGTTTTTCAAAGAGAAAAATGGCAACTTTGTTTGCAAATTACATCACCATGGTAACTCAAAATGCCTATTGCCAAGCCAGTCATTTTGATATAACATTTGTGGGGGTACACGATGCTGTTCGAGCCGCATTAAAGTTGATGGAAGAGTAAGATATAAAGTTAAGAAACCCTTTTCAGGTTGATAATAGGTGGCTGCCTTACTAGACAGTCCCCAATTAATTTTTAAATTTTTGTTTCATAATTTTAAATGTTGCAAGAATTTACTTTGGATCATTTCACTGCTTTTTACTTCTAAACTGCAAACATTGTGAATTGTAGAAAAGGGAAACTACTAAACATTTCTTCTGCATTTCATTCTTCATATGACTTTTGAGTCCTTACTATTTAGGAGTTCATGATGCAGAATCCAAAACGAGTAAATGATCCTGAGGGTCCGGGTTAGGAACCGATCCGGATATTTCAGCTCCGGACTCACCTTTTCCAGTTCATCGCTGACCAGCCGACTGTCCTGATTCACGTCGAGATATTTAAACATTGTGTCCACCAGCGCTCTTTTCTCCTCCATGTCCCTCTGCTGGCTCTGCTGTCCGGTCTTCATTACTTTGGGTTGCATGTCGAGCAGCATGCTCTTCAGCTTGTTGTATTCTGACATGGTGCACGCACTGCCTGCAAGGGAAAACACACAGATTGAATAAAGAAATGAAACAAAACATTTATTCACAATTATTCCAATTACACAAGCTGCACGCACGGCTGTAAATGGGGTTGAATGTGTTTGTGTTTCTGAGAAAGAAAAAAAAAACATTTTAGAAGAAAAATAATGTGTGGAAAAGCACCGTAGTGCGTCCTTGAGCCATTAAGAAAGATTATGGATTTTTTTTTGGGGGGGTGGGCTTTCATTATTTGCTACAGCTCTTTTTCAGGGGGGCAGAGAACATAAATAATTACATGTAATCCTAAAATCCACATGAAAACAAAAAGGTAAACATCGTCATTTAGCATCTTGTCGCACTGTACTCTGGAATTAAAGCTCGTGGGTGCCTTGTTTGTCTGGAAAAACATATGTCACATGCTGAGAGGGACTGACAAGCAGAGATATTAATAGAACAAGCTTCTCTAATAAGTATCAGAAAAAAGAGATGGTTCAGGTAAGTTTTTTCTTTTCTTGTGTCTTTGCTTCTGTTTAGTACCAGCTGTGCCCTGCTGGATAGCAGGATGAGGAATGTTGATGGGAGGCCACGAGGAAGCAATGAACACAAGCATAGATCAGAAAAAAAATGGTGGAATAGCTTTTTAAATAAATTAATTAGATGAAAATGCCTACTGAGGAGGAAAACCCAATATGGGAGAGGATCTCAATGACAAACATCCTCTGACATCAAAACTATTAAACAAAAACTAAATTAGGGAACATGACTTTAAACATTCTGTCTCAGCATCTCTTTATGATTCTAAACTTGTACAACAGTTTAGTACTATCTGAGTATACCTAGAGCCATTACCATAACTGTCCTTATTGCAGCATTAACAAGGTTCCTGCTGGGCTACAGAAGAGACAACCTCCTCCCGTTAATGTCACAGCTGAATATAAATGTACAAAATGATGTTTCCATGCATGTGTGTGCATGCTTATATATGGAAAAACACAAGGTTTCCTGGTGTGCAGAATATCTTTATCTTGAGAAAAGGCCAGGGTCACCCACAATTAAACCTTCAACAAACATCAAATTAAATGTGCTTGTTCTCACGCACAAAAAAAGACAATTAAGAAGAAAATAATTGCACCGTTTTAGTTCCGTGTTGTCGTATTAGAAGTTAAAGACATGATTATAATCTGCTTTCACAAATGTGACTCTTGCTTGAGTTACATTTTTTTTAATCAGAGTTGGATATTTACAAATATAAATTAAATCTTCGGTGAACTTTATATTTTTTAGTTTCTACTACAAGCGTTGTTTAACGTTCGTAATCGTCACCAAACGCTATCGGAACCCAGACCCATTTCTACTGTCATGAAAATTATGGGAGTTGTAAATTTTAACAAATGGATTATACGCAACACATTTCTGAAGATTTTTTTTTTTTTAATACCTCCACCTACTGGCACAGATCTGAAATGTGACATATATTTATCACATTGGGCGTACTTAGAAAATTCATTCCACATTTGGAAATGGCAATTTCATAAATTTTTTATGCTTATTTTTATTTAATGATTTAAAATGAACAACAAAAATTATATTTATCTAAAATAACAGAATGAGCTAAAGTGACTAAGCAGAGATTAGTATTTGTCTTATTGTGTCAAATATGTCACATGGATTTTTTTTGTACAATTTAAAGTTTAATGCCTGATGAGGCATAAATGTCACAGTGATATTTGACAAACCTATTCTTTATCAAATTGTTTTAGAAACGCTCTCAAATCATTTTATATGTGAGCTATGACATGTTCTGTAAGGATTAGCATCAATGAATCAGTGGAAACTCACCTTTGGTAAAACAAAATAAAGTTTCTAAAATTACCTGAGTGGTCACATTAGCTGCCCAGGTGCACCAAGACTTTGGAAATGATGTCGTAAGTACCCAGAGTCCCTCACTAGTCACATGACTGAATCAGGATGTTCAGTGTCACTTAGGGACTTCATGAGATAAGAGTCAATGTTAAACCTTAATAAGAAACTTTTCTCAATTTTAAAAAGGGGCAGTGACACTGGATCTTTAAAAACGTTAGTGTTTAACATTCCTACTAAAGATGAAAGATATATTTTTTTTTTATTAAGGTAAATATGTACAGATGGTATCTAACTTTTTTTTTAATGTCAAAAATGATTTCCTAGAACATCCAGGTACAGTAGTCCCATGCTACTTCATGGTTTATTTTTTGTGGACTCATTCTATGGCGGTTTTTCAAAATAAGATTGGACATGACACACAATTGGCTGATTGATGGATGACCCACACGGTTGGCATAAATTGTTTATTTTAAATGAATTATTTTTAATTAATTAGCATCTGCTGCACCTTTGTGCAGCCCATAATGCAGAATAAACTTGCTCCTGCAGCTGATCTCCATGCAGAGCAGAGAAGTGGGCGCGGCCAACAGCGCTTGCAGGTGAGGAGAGCAGCCGAGGCAGGGAGCTGAAATCATGACATTCTGTGCTCTTTGAGAGCATTTAGAGTTTAGAAACGTGGTTAAGAATAAAGCAAGAGTGTGGGAAGGCTTTAAAACGCCTTTATATATATATAT